TCGGTGAATTTCGATTTACCTCATAACGCTAGGTCCAGAACACAAACCTTCGTTTCCTGTTTATGCAATAATCGGTTTTTTACTTAACGATACTGAAAATCATATAAGTGGAAAAAAAAAACATTTCAAATTATTCCTTTCTAGGTAGCGTAATATAATATGGGAAGACCAACCCTAAACGGGACGAAACGTTTTGTGTTAGAAGTGTACACATAGTTTTGCTACTGTTTTTTGAGATCATTCCAGAATTATTAAGGCGTTATCATACTAAATAAGATATGTTTTTTAGATTTTTTTAGATTTGTTTAATACAATACTTGGTGGTTCTTCCGTTAAATAAACAATTTTTTTTTTTAAATAGGTAGACTATGTTAAGCCGGAATCGACATCTTATTCCTTATTTATTTAATTATGATGTAAGCTCTCTCTTCAAGGGTCTATACCAGTATGACACTTTCAAACAAAAATTTTTTTTTTTGCTTTTTCGATAGTATATGTTTCGAAAAATATTCTGCGAAAAAGGTCGTATCTTGTATGGTTTTCGGATGACAGATGAGTGAAACTTTCGTTTCTTCTCGAAACGACATTTTTCAAGATTGTTGACAGCATAACTCAATGAGAAATTAACCGACTTTAAATGAAAACAGAGGATTACTGAATACATTTACTATACAATGACCTACGATCGTTTTGATTGCTTTAAAATTGTCAATTTGGCACAAAAAAAAATGATTTTTTCAAAATTACGCCAYTTTGTTAATTTTTGATATTTTTCAAAGATCGTAACTCATTTACTTTTCAAAATTTTTGTAAAAAAAAAAATATAGCTGCAAATAGACCTTATTATGTCCAACGAACTTCGAAACATTCGACGGAGAACCTTTTTATTAAAAAACTTCCGAAAGTCRCCTTATTTTTCATGCGTCACACTTGTATAACCCCTTATATTTAAATTATACGCTAGTAAATAATGTAGTACCTGTTTTGTAAATATTTTATGYATGTATTTTACCTACCTTGAAAGATGAGAAATATCAATGCAATTTCCAGCCAGTGCCACATTATGAGTTTTTTTTTTTTTGTAGAACTTACGAAAATATTCAGTGCAGTGCTGAAATCGCCACAATTATGAMCTCAGACCAGTTTGTTGTAACTGTAAAAATAATGACAGTTAATAAATTATTCAGTAACAAGAACATTTTCATAYATTCTACTGTTAAAAATAAGACCGCAAATAAAGCGCCGAAACCATTAACTGTATTTAAATGTACACTTAAACAAAATCCACCGGGATTCCCACTTAACAGCCGACCATTTACCACACCTCATCGCTAGCCACGAACAAAAGTCACAAATTCGGGTAAAGTGTTGCGCCACGACACACCTCTTCCTTTCGCACCTTGTCGCATTTAACAGCGATCCTAAACAAATTCATTGGCCTATAAACTGCTGTGCCACATACACCTTCATTTGCCACCTATGTATAGCACAAACAAAACAAGCCGACACACGCACATGCCGTGGCGCTTAAAGTTTGCCGCAGACAAAGTAGTAAAATAGTAGTTAGTCGTATCGCAGTTACCTTTTATGCCATTAGGCTGACCGCACTTGGTTGGTTGCTGTTTATGTGGCGCTAATATCTCTGCCTGCCGGCTGACTAGCATGCTAGTCGCTGGTCAGCAAATACTCATTGAGCGGGAAGGCGGTGGCGCGGCTGAGGTGGAGTGCGTTGAGGTGTTGGGCGCTGAAGAGGTATGCGCCACCACACACAATGCGGCTGCGTACCCGTGCAATTACTTAATTGCCATTTCGGGTACTCGCACACAAGTGTACTCCACACATACAAACAACAAAAGCCGCAACGCGCACACCTATCATATGTACGTATGTTAATATGTGCATATATATAAGTATATATATATGGATGTATGGAAGTGTGTGTGCTTTGTAGCGCGTTGCTACGCCCACTTTCATCATGACCACCGGTTGTTTGGTTGCAAACGGTACTGGCTTTTAGCAAATTTGTTCATGTGAATCGCTAATATCATATCCATATGTAGGTGTATGTATGTATGCATGTGTGTATATTGCTATGCTAATACCACTTTGTGATGTATGCGTTCGCCGCTTGTTTATTTTACGTTCGCCTTTGTAGTGTCCSTAAGTTGCTGCTTGAAGCTGAGTATCTTGATTAGTGGCACGCCGATCGCTTCAAGTGGCAATTTGTACACGAAATATCTTTTGGCGCTGGCTTACTTACTCCTTCCGCGCTTGTCGGTACGCCTGTTGTTTGCTCTTGTATATACACCTACACACATATGTAGGTTTGGTGGCAGTGCTCGTGGCATTCGCATTAAATGTCTGCTGCTGCCTATATTCCCAAATAAACACATGCTATTTTGAGTATTGCAGTTGTTTACACAYACATGGGTACCAGTAACTGGTTTACATATTTGTAAATTGGCAAATGTTTACTTAGCCGCGTGTTAACTTCTTGTATTAGCGACWAAGTGAAGAAATATTGCAACTTTTTATGTTGTCTTTATCATTTCAATATCTCCATTTGTCAAATCTTTGGGCACATACACTCGCATTTGAAAAAGGATGACGACTGTACTTAATTCACTACGAAGGCCKTGCTGATAACATTATTTTTGACATGGGATTGATAGCCATCATCGATTCGCCATGTCTCTGCGCTCCAATGTGTCTTGTAAAAAATTTGACATATAGAACACCAAGAAAGTTAGCCAGTTGCATTTGAAAKAAAAGAGTATTAGCATTAGAGCAGGTCAGGTTTTTTTCAGTAAAATCGGGAGAGCGGGWAATGTTGTCTGAACAACTTCGCTGWAGAGAAGCCGGTTTCGGGACAACGATTTTTTAAGTGAAGTTCATTTCAAATTTTTTCCAGATTTTCCCTCAAATGATCTTTTCAATTAGAATGCTTAGAGTTTGCAAGTTTATAGAATAGGCCTCTATTACATATGTTCTTCAAAGTGAATATATCCAGTTCAGTGCTCTCAATCTCTCGATCAGCTAGTAGCGCCAGAGAGTCGAAAAATATATCAACAAAGCCGAAGATACCACTAATTAAGAAGTGAGAAAACCATTGAATGAGAATGGAATACCTAGCAAACTTAGTAAACAAATTGCCCCTGCACTTTAAGGGGGCCACGGCAAAGGAAAGTTTGATATTAGGCATTCTTCAAAGTGAACCAACAGTCTCAACACACAAGATTTAGTACGAATTTGAATGTCAAACCTGTGGATGCGGCACTGAATTAAAGAAGTTTCATCTTAAAACTCTTCCTTTATTTCAACGCACTCGAATGTAACCCACGCCATTAGTACACAAATATGTCGTTTATTCGCCTTGATTGGCCTCTCTTAAAATCCATTAGTCGTTTGAGAGTAGCAAAAACTTCTGGTGCCGATCGCTTTCAAAATAAATCCTTTGAATGAACCCTAAAAAAATAAAACGCTATCTGTCCACCTTTTTCCTGCTCGCTMTTATTTAAACGTGAAAGGAATCACTAGGTAATCTAATGGAACTCACTTACTCTCWATAATTTAATTATTTCAGTGCCTTTCTTTTATGCTAATATTTCATTCTATTTCCCCCTCTYTAAGCTTCATTTAGCTAACTAAAGWAAGGAGTGTGTTTTAGGTTTCKATTTAAATAAACGGGTATACATATGTATATATGACACTTTGCTTGTGAGATATTAGGAAGCAAATTTAAAATACCGCACTGTCGCCAGCTTGTATAATATGGGATTTACGATGAGTCCTAATACTTTATAGAATATGTTTCGATATTAAGAAAATATATGTAGTAAAGGTGAAATTATAAGGAATTATGTTTCATAAACCTTTAAGGGGAAATGCAGGATTTAAATTTTAATGCAAGATTTTTTAGTAAACCCTCATACATATTTAAGTATTTATTACCTTTTTGATAACCTATATTCTGGGCATTAAGAATGCAAAAACCAATGCTTTCAGCTACAGCGTAAARAAGATCAAAGAAACTTTGTACACCAGATTTCGGATTCGACATACTTTTGCCATTTCAATGTGTTATCCAATTATTAAAACCATTATTGCAAACAAAGCTCACAGGGCTTTGAAGCAGTGCTCAGAAATCGTGAAAAGAAGAAGAAACTAAAAAGAACTGAAAAAATAAACAAAGAACTATAGCAGACTGTGCTGAATCTAATAGCCGTCTAACGAACGAACGCACTTGGATGACCCACCGGTGGGGTTGTGGCGACAAGCGCGACTGCGACGGCGACGGCCACCCTTCGTAGTCTTATGGTTGCAGCGGCACCGTAGCAGATGTGTGGCTTCCACGCGCTGTCCGATTGACCGTACTGTAGCTTACAATTGGCACATGTCTTCAATAGGTGTATGTGTGTATGTGTATTCTTGCATTTGCACTCCTATATGTTTTATCATTGTTTTTCTTGCTTTGTTTTAGCTCAAATGCTTCAAAAGTTTTCCACTTCCTTATTTATTTCTTAGCTGAATTCAAAAACACATTTATTTACACAACCTTATATATGTATTTATTTCTTATATTTTTGTTTGTGTGCGTGTGTGTAAACTTATATTTATGTATTTAAAAGCGCATATGTGTGTTGTACATGTTGCGCTCCTTCATCAATTGTGAGATATAACAGTTGCTGTTAATGGCCTTTGCAAACTAATGCGCCACATTTTGCTCCATTTGGAAATTACATTTGCCCACTTGAAAGAAAATAAAGTAAGAAGGACACGTCAAGAATTAAAGCGTAAAGAAGGCATATAGTACATAACTTTTGCCTTCGAAATGTAAAGTAAACAGCAAGTAGTATTTTCATTTCCAGCACTTCGCGACAGTTTCTGCAAGATTTCGTTTTTCATTTCATATATCTACATATGCAAGTACATTTGCACGTATGTATGTGTGTGTCATACTTTTGGTTAAGGATAACTGGCAACAGGAAGTAACTAATGTGAAAATAGATTTGTTGTGAAAAAGTAAAAAGCTGCGGGTGTTTAAGAAAGTTTTCTGCAGCGGCCTTGCTTCGCCGCTCAGAACAATTCACTTAACAGCAATCAAAGCGGATAGCGGTCGAAAAAGGTTTGTTTATGTAACATAAACGTTTGGAAGCCCACTTATTTACGTGTTCGAGTAAATTAAAGGATACATTTTGGGAATCCTGCTGACTGTTGAAATTGGGTACTTTTATACTATTACAACATGCTGAYACGGAGTGTTGTAGCTTTGTTCAYATAACGGTTGTTTGTACCACCTACCAATAATCAAGATAGATTTGAGGTTATATATACTACATAAATTGAYGAAACTTGGTACATTTGTTCTCGGATGGAAAATTAAGGACGAAACTTCTGCCACGATCACAAAACAGCATTAATCGAACAGGTAAAAAGTGACATAAATAAGCTGTAATGCACCAGTGGTTTTAAAATATTTCAAAAGTTTGAGTGGTCCTTCCCCTAAATAAAATATATCTTCCAAACCAATAAAGCTTCTTCTTCTTCTTCTTTATTGGTTATAGCGCGGAGAGGTCCTTTCCGATCCTGACGGAGCTGCTAATATTGAACAGCAGCGGTTTTCATAGCCGTATTAATTTTGCAGGGATACCAAATTCAGACCAATAAAGCTATATTACCCAATTTTGCACAGACCCATATTTTCAACTCTTCTTACCTACTATCCTTAAAACGGGTATGTTAAATACTACTAAAACTGTTATAAATTAATAAATAAATGCGTTAGAGGCATTCAATTCCAATTGGTCTATACCTCATGTCCCTAGTTTAAATAATTTCGAACCTTGGTTGACGCTTTCCATATTAACAAAATCCATTACATTTAGCCTCTTACTTCGAGTTAATACCATATATGTTAGTTGAAGATATTTTTTATACTATTTTAGTTTACGCGAACTAAAATATAGCAATAAAAAAGTCTAAAAATGGTCTTCAATACAAGTCAAGAACATTCCAAATTTTATAGTAATTTATTCACGATTTCCCTGAATAATAGATATTGAATTCTTTCGCAACATTTTWAATGTCRAATTTMGCCAACACATGAAGAAATTTACAAGAGTRTGAAATGTTCAGTCACACCCGGACTTTTTT